CCCTGCTGTACGGTCATATAAGTGCTAGTTATTCTCTTCGGCAATCCCTTGCAGCCAAGGATGATTGTTTTCCATTTTTCATGGAAAATACCTTCGTTTAATGTCTTTTATCATACAAAAGGTTCCACACATCAATTTCCACACTGCTTTTGACAGAACAGGACCTTGATCCAATGGCAAAGAGACCAAAGCAACTGGTGATCTCATTCCGCTGCAGCCTTCATCCACCTTCATAGCCATTGAGATTCTAACATCTTTTTCCACCTGCTCTGCCATTGAGGATTTGTAGACCCACGATTGGGGGTTGGGCAGGTTTATTGTAGTGGTAACCTGTACTCGCAATGTCACAGCATTGTCAAAGGATACATGTGGCTTTTCAGGAGGGAGAGCACTGCCATTTGCTGTCCTTGCATCCTGGTGGTGGTGCTGCATAGATTGATAGATTGTAAGGCCAGAAGGGGCCTCTGAAGATCATTGGGTCCAGCCTGCTGCACCAAGCAGGAAAGATAACTGGGGATCAAGTGACCCCAGCAAGGTGACTGTCTAGTCACCTCTGAAAGATTTCTAGGGTAAGTGATTGCACCACCTCTGGAGGGAGCTTATTCCACAGTCTGGACACCCTGACTATGAAGAAGTTTTTCCTAATGTTGAGCCTGAATCTATCTTCCAGGAGTTTGTAGCCATTACTGCTGGTTTTCCCCTCAGGTGCTAGTTTTCCCCTCGGGTTGCTCACTGAGCCCTTGATGTACTCTCCTAGTAGAGTGGTAATCTGCTACCAGGTCCCCTCTCAGCAGCCTTTACCTCAGGCTGAGGCTTCCCAGATCCCTCGGCCTTTCCTTATATGGCTTACTGGGTAAGACTCTGATCATACGGGTGGCTCTTCTCCCGACTCTCTCAAACTTGGCCATGTCCTTGTTAAATTGTGGTGCCCAGAACTGGATGCAGTACTCCAGCTGTGGTCGCACCAGTGCTGAGCAGAGCAGAAGAATTACCTCCTTGGTTTTGCTGGAGATGCAGAATATTATTTGCCCTACTGGTTACAACATTGCACTGCCAGCTCATGTTCATACTATGGTCTATTATTATCCCCAGGTCCCTTTCATTTGTGGTGCTGGTCAGTTTGGCACCACCAAGCCTGTAGGTGTGCAGGGGGTTGTTTATCCCCAGGTAGAGCACTTTACACTTTTTTCAACATTGAACTTCATCAGGTTCTGATCTGCCCAACTTGCTAAGCTGTCTAGGTCCACCTGTATTTGTAGCCTATCTTCAAGCGTGGCCACGCTCCCCCATAACTTGGTGTCATCTACAGACTTGGCCTGTGAGCTCTTCACTCCTACATCCAAATTGTAAATAAAGATGTTGAAAAGTACTGGACTGAGCTCTGACCCCTGAGGGACACCGCTGCTCACTTCTTATTAGGCTGACACAAATCCATTCACTGTGACTCTCTGGGTCCTATCCTGCAGCCAGTTTCTTACCCACGTGACTGTCTTGGAGTTAAGCCCACAAACCTCCAATTTTCTCCTGAGGACATTGTGGGATACTAGATCAAAGGCCTTTTGGAAGTCAAGGTTTACAATGTTAATCTGCTCTCATGTTCAGGTGGCGAGTTAGAAGGAGATGAGGTTGGTAAGGCAAGACCTTCCCATGATGAAGCCATGCTGGCTGTCATTCAAAATCTTACCTTCTGCAAGCTTATTGCAGATGGACTCCTTGATGAACTTTTCTAGGATTTTTTCCTAGGATTGAAGTTAGGCTGGCTAGCCTATAGTTATGAGGGTCCTTCCTCCTGCCGTTCTTGTGGATGGGCACAACACTGGCCCTCTTCCAGTCCTCAGAGACTACTCCAGAGTGCCAAAAGGTTGTGGAAGAGTTTTGTCAGGGGTTCTGCAGTGACTTTGGCCAGCTTCTTCAGCACTCTCAGATAAAGATCATCTGGTCCCACTGATCTGTATATGACCAATTAAAAAAATTAGACATACACCAATTCTACACCAATTTTATTCCTACTGTACTCATCCACTACGCTACCTGGTGTGGTTTTTCCCTTGCTCCAGTGAGAGACCGAGGCAAAGTAGTCATTCAGGAGTTCAGCTTTCTCCTGGACATAGGCAATGTGTAGGGGAAGCACCGGGGGGCACATGCCCCCCCCCCAGCAGTGCCGGCCCCGCCACTGGCGGCAGCTGCAGATGCTCGCCAGCTTTGGCCCTGCCACTGGCAGTGTCTGTGGGAGCTCACCAGCTCCACCCCTGCCACCACTGGCTTCAGTGGGTGCCCCCCAGACTAATGAGGCACCAGTTGGCCATGTTTCTGGGTACCGGTAACCAGCTCTCCTGAGTTGTTGAGCAAAGGCCCCACACTCCCATTTGTTTTTCTCCTGTTCCCTCTGCATCTAAAGGTAACTCTCTTACCCCTGCTTATTTCAAAGCTAACCTTCCTTAAAAGTTATTTGACTATCCACCACCTGTGGACATGCTGGGTAGCAGTACAGCTCTGTTCCACATAGCAGAATCTACTATGAAAACAACTAGGTCTGTTCTGTTCCTTCCTACTTAATCCAACAAAGGCTGTTCTACCATTCTTACACTCAAAAGACTTCGCCTCACTTGCTGGACTGACCCCTAGTGAAACATCTGTATACTTAGAATGAGCCAAAACCCACTTTACTGCTGGGCCTCAGTGCTTCCATCTGAAGTGTGTACATGAAATCAAGGGCAAAATTTAGCCCCTGGATGTGCAAATGATAGTGCCACCAGTACAACACACGTTGAGACTCCTGTTTCAGCAGCCTCAGATGTGCATGTTTTTTGGGCACTTGAATCATTTGAATGCATGGATGAACACACAGCCATGACCTGGCTGCCAAATCTGAGAGCAGGACTGAGGAACTCTTGAAAGTACCTGGATATGTGCTGTTATGAATAAATGACATGTTGTCCATATAAAGCCTCCACATTTTTACCTAAGATTTGTGCAAATCTGCTACAAGTGTCAGAAGTCCAGTCTCTAAAAAAAACCCCTGAATTGGTAGAGGGAAGTCTGCAGGAGAGACACAGAAAAAACCAGAAGCAGAAGGTGAGGAAAATAAGAACAAGTGGAGCAAAGAATCTCATGTCAGACTGAAGACTTTGAAAGAGACCAATAAAGAGATAAGGCACTATAGCAGATCAAATGTAGATACCAGAATAAATTGGAAAGAGAAGAAAAGAAGACAATGTTCTCAAAGAAGCTTAACCTGTAGTGCCCTCTGGTACCAGGAAAGTTGGAAGAAGAGGAATACTAAAGAGCTGGGGGGTGGGGAGCAGGAGAATATAACAGCTCTTGAGTGACTGGTCATTTATACGCATGCTCCAGGAGCATGGGGGGAGGGGGTGATTTAAATAGAGTGGCTTTTAGAACCACTCTAAAGCACCTGGCATATCTTACGTGTCGGCATCCTCACGCTGAAGAACAGCAGCAGGGGTGCTTTCACTAAAAGCTCCCCTGCCACCATTTTTCATCATGGGGTCATGGATACATGAAACACTGGAGTCTGCTAGAGCACAGTAATTACCACACCCCAGCAGACTTTAATTGAGTCTACTCCAAAGCACTGTAATTACTGTGTGTTGTAACAGCCTCACTGCATGTGTATAGGTGCCTTTTATGACACTTATGTGGTAATATTTTTATATATGTATTTGTACAACATAAAGCAGAGAGAAAAATGGGGAGGGGATAGTAACCTTGGATCACCATTTTTCTATTGGCAATCTATAAGTGAATGGCTTCATAGGCAGGTGAACGTACCCCTCTGAGACTCATAATTGCCTTTGAATTTTATATTGTCCCCAAAATATTGCAATTAAACAGGAGCTGCTTTGGAAAAAACATTCCCTGCTGACTATATATGAGTAAAGTATTTTATTACATATTCAGAACATAGTTCTACAGCTGCTTCCATGTTTGATCTGCACTGCAATTGGCATAATGCAATTTTTAATATAAAATGAGATTAAGAAATTAAATATGTTGTAGTTACCCGAAACCATCTTCCATTTTTACAGAGGAGTTCCTTAATGAAAGTGATTCAGACTTTATTGGTAAAGTTTTCTTCAGAACCTCTGACAGCTATTAATCTGATTGTTGCAGCAAATTAAATGTGGAGCTGTTGCTCAATATATTCTGCCTCTGGGGCCAAGTACAGACAGTCAAAAAGCCTGAGGCTGAATCGATTCAATCTTTGCAGGTTAGTTTTAAGCTGAGTAAATTGAACTGATGAACAAGTGAATAGACATTCTCTTTTGATTCCAGAAATGCAGCCATATGCCTGAAGTAGCTTAAGCCAGAGCCTGGGGGATGGGGTACCAGAGAATGCCTCTGCTCAGCTGGAGCAGACAGCTTGGGCCAAGACTAGCCTACACACCCTGTAAGGGTGGGGAATTTGTAGGGGATGTGCAAAACATCCTGGGATGCTGGGAGACTGAGTTAATTTGAATCTGGAGGGGATCTGGCACAGAAGTTCAATAAACCAATATAACCTAATTCAGTTAGGTCTGATATTACTTCCATCCAGGTTTATCTTAAATTGGTTTTGGCCACTTTGAAAGCTGTTGATGTACACTGAACTTCCTTTTTGTTATAGATTTGAACTGGTTTCTGATCACTTATGTCACTTCTGTCCCTAGCCTTAAAGTTTGTTGCTCTCTCTCTCTTTTTCTTTTTTTTTTAATTCTCTTTCCTAAACAGAACAGCTCATAATAAAAATGGAATTTACTCACATGACCCGGCCTTGAAATGTAAGGAGATTCAAGACAACATTTTGTCTTCATCTATCAAGAAGAAAAGGTACGTGTTTGCTTTTCTCTCTCCTTTTTTTGTTTTAAAAAGAAGACTAAGAGTGCTGTGTTCTTGCCTAACACTCTCATTGACATTAGTACAGAGCCATGCAATAAGAAATAAAAAATGCACAGCCAGTGTTTGGCTGAATTTTTTGGTTGGATTTATTTTGGATCTGCACTAAAAAGAAAAGAAATCATCATAATACATGGCAACAAGATTTCTCATTCTCTGCTAAGAGCCCCAAGGAGACCTCTATTTCTTCAAACTAAGAATCTTAAAAATCATAATAAGTTATTACATTTTCGTTCTTGGATATCTTTTCTTGATTAGCTGACTCCCACCAACCAATATGCAGGCACAAGAATAGATTTCCCCCTCCCTTCCCCCCACCAAAATGTCTAGAAATGAGCTCGTATTAAAAACTACTTGTTATATATATGTGACTGTGGTATTAACTTTCCAATAGGAGGCTAGTTGTTCAAGTGTATTGGTAACTTCATGGTAAAAAACACCTCCATCTCTATTATACCTCAAAACTTTTATCACTGGCCTCCACTAGAACCTGCACTCGGTATAGGGGAGGAAAAAAATCCCTTATATATTTTCTATGAGTAGACAATGCCACAGACATCAGTGCATTTCCTTTATATACACCATTGCCTTGCCAAGACAGATGCACCATATTTTTTCACACGAACACACGCACACTTTTCTCCAAAAATGAGCTGTTCGTATTTGGCGTGCATATTATATGCAAGAACTATGGCAAAAGCAGGGGGTTTTTTAAACTTACTGGGTGAAGCCACAGTACCAGAGGTACCAGAATACTAAGCAGGCTCAGTTCCCTAGTTGCTGCTACCCTGTTACTTATTACAAGGAAGGATCTCTTTCTTCTTCATTCTGCCATTCAGAAACAAGGCTTCTGAACCTTGCATGTTGTATGTGAGAATGTGGCAGATAAAAGAAAAAAAGAAAAATCAAACCGCTTAAAACCAAAAAATGACATACATATATTGTACTGTTTGGGAGTTTAGGCTCTCCTTTTGTAAGCACTTGAGGTACTAAAACAGGATGAGTGTCAGGATTAATATCAAGCACATCCTTAAGTGTCTTCAAGATCAAGGTCTTAGCTTCCATTTGTACAGTAAACATAATATGAAAAGACAGGAAATTATATAAAATAAGTTATCTAACTTTCCCAGTCTTTCCTCTCTCTCCTTTTGTCCCTCTGTTCCCTGCCATTTGGTCATTTTACCTCTCTCTTTCACCCTTTTCTTCTAATCTGCCAGTCCTTCCCTTTTCACTTCCCATCCTCTGTTGCTTTTCCCTTCTCTAACTTGCTTTCCTATCTTCTGACTCTGTCTCCACCTACCGATAGTCCCTCCTGCCACCAAACCTTGTTATCACTTCGATGGATGAAGTA